TGGACCTGCCTAGGCTCAGTGTGCTGTGCTCTGCTGACTCCCCATGGGAGACCTCGATTTGGGGGATGTGGGGATGCGGGGTGGCTTGGGAAAGATGGCTGGGGGTGGGAGGAGGGGGGATCTGTGGATAGTATGTGGAGTGAGTAGAAAATTTCTTAATAAAGAAAAATGAAAGAAGAAAATATCTGCCTTAGACTCTTCAGTAAGGGCAGCACAGACAGCTCGGTGGTTCACACCTGTAGTCCCATTGGGTGGAGGCAGGAGTATCAGGACCATGAGGTGGTCTTCAGCTATGGCAAGTTTTGAGGCCAGCCTGGACTATGTAACACCTTGTCTTGAAAAATAAAAACAGGGCTGGCGAGACCCAAAGGCACTTCCAAACAAGCCTAGCAACCTAAGTTCTGTCCCTTGGGGTCCACATGGTGGAAAGAGAAAACTAACTCCTCCTGCAAGTTTTCCTCTCACCCCAAGCACATCATGGCACGTATACACACACATATAGTGAATAAATAAAATCTATATATTTTTTAAGTCAGTTTCATGAACAGTGGACTAAAAATGACTGAGAAACTATTTTAGATCAAAGGAAACTATAATGAGACAAGATAGCCAGGTGCAGTATCCACAGCCCTTGGTTACATTATTAGGCTGAATCAGAATATTTTAATATAAAGTGTATTAAAAACTATATTATTTTATCAGAAGTAATTTTTAGTAGAATTAATAAATTGTGAGCATCTGAAATAACATTGTTCTTAGTAGATATTGCTAAATTATTATTATTATTATTATTATTATTATTATTATTATTATTATTATTATTATTTTGGTTTTTCAAGACAGGGTTTCTCTGTGTTGTGCCTTTCCTGGAACTCGCTTTGGAGACCAGGCTGGCCTTGAACTCACAGAGATCTGCCTGCCTCTGCCTCCCGAGTGCTGGGATTAAAGGCGTGTGCCACCACCACCCGGCGCTAATTAAAGATTGAAATGTCCTATTGGTTGTAGTTTGTTCTCAATTGGTCCAGCAAAAAGAAATACATGTAGAAAGGCCAAAGTGTTTCCTGTTTGCACACCTAAACAAAGGTACATAAATGTTCCCATAGTGTTGAAACTGTTCCATTTGAAAATTCTCAGAATACAGGGGTTGGGGAGATGGCTCAGCAGTTAAGAGCACCGGCTGCTCTTCCAGAAGACCAGAGTTCAATTCCCAGCACCCACATGGCAGCTCACAACTGTCTATAACTCTAGTTTCAGACACCTTCACACAGGCATACATGTAAGCAAATACCTATGCATATAGAATAAAAATAAATTATGAAGAAAAAAGAAAAGAAAGTTCTCAATAAAAAGAGGAAGAAAAGAATTGCTAATTTAAGTAGCCACACTAAGGTACAAAAAAGAATAAGTTGGAGGGCTGGAGAGATGGCTCAGTAGTTAAGAGTGCTTGCTGCTCTTCCAAAGGACCTGAGTTTAATTCCCAGAACCCACATTGGGCAACTCACAATCACCTGTATCTCCAGCTTCAGGGAATCCAACACCCTCTTCTGGCCTCCACAGGTAGCAACATAAACATGGCGCAGATATACAAACATATACATAAATATAAAATTAAGTAAATGAATCTATAATTAAAAAAGTAAAATGAAAGTTTTTATAAGTAACTAAAAGCAAGGATTACAGTAGTCTTCATTTGATCGTCAGCTCAAAGAAATTAATACTATCTGTGGCGGTTTGAATGAGAAAGTCCTCCGTAGGTGCATATATTTAAACACTTGGTCCTCAGTGGATGGTGCCATCTGGGGAGGCTCTGGGGGTGTGGCTTTGTTGGAGGAGGTACATGTGGAGTCCAGCTTTGAGAGTTTAAACTCCTGACATTTACTGTTGCTCTCTCAGCTTAGTGCTTGTGGTTCAGGATGTGGGACTCGAGAGATGACTCAGAGGTTCAGAGCACATTCTACTCTTGCAGAGCACCCGAGTTCGGTTCCTAGCACCCATGTCAGGCCTCTCACAACTGCCTGTAACTCCAGCTCCAGGGGATCTGATGACCCTTCCTGGCCTCCTCAGGCAGCTGCAACTGATGTGCACAAGCCCATACATAAATACATAATTGTAATTAAAACGGAACAACTTTTAAAAAAGAAGGTGTGAGCTCTTAGCATCCAGTTCCTGCTGCCATGCCTGCTGTTTGCTGCCATGGTTCCCTGCTATGATGGACTCGTTCCCTCTGGAACTGTAAGCCAAATAAACCCTTCCTTCTGTAAATTGTCTTGGCCACACTGTTTTATCACAGCAATGGAAGAGTGATGCATAGATGCCTAATTGTTGAAATTCATGGAATTCCAAAGCCATGTCTTAGTGTTGCAGAACATAGGTATAGTGATGGACTTAACACATATTTTATGCTTAAATTGTTTTCATCATTCTAGTTTAATGAATCCTTCTCTTCTGCCAATCACTGCTATTCTGATTCTGATTTCATCCTGAGTGTTAAATTTCCTCTGTTGTCTTCCCTCCTGAATATGGACCAACACTCCCAAGATCTTTTTTTTTTTTGTGTATGTGTGTGTACCTACATGAGACTGTGTGCACCTTGTGTGCAAGAGCCCTCAAAGGCCAGAAGAGTGTTAGTTCCTTTTAGAATTAGAATTACAGTGGTTATGAGCTGCCATGTGGGTTCTGGGAATCAAACTCCACCCTCTGCAAGAGCAGCCAGTGCTCTTAACCATTGAGCCATCTCTTTAGCCTCCATCCTCAAATGTATAAAGTGTCTGAGCCATCTTAAGTTAGGTTCTTTGAGTCCCGCTGTCCTAGCTGTCGGTGTTGGGGAGAAAGGGTCTGCAGTGTACTTTATCAGGTCTGTAACAGACCACTGCTTCCACTAGTATTTGGATGTGCTTGGATGACTTTTTTATTCTATCACTTTTAGTCTCCCTTGCCAGCACTTCCCAGTCTCTTCCCTTGTGCTGGGATGATACGGCTATACCAAGATTCATGCACTCTTGCCCTCCTGAGAGTAGATTCCTTTTTCACATGTCAGTTAAGATCAGATAATTTCCTTATCCTTTAAGAAGTGAAAGGAAAATGAAAATTAAAAGAAGTGGAAGAAAACCTTGACCATGGTATGTGCTCAATGAATATTGACTGATGTTGAACTAATTAAGTGTTTCTTTCCCAAACAGCTCTCCTGTTGAGATTAGTTGACTCGTCCATTTAGTGTTCGGTTAAGGAAATTACTGGATTGGTTCCCTTGGCTACCTGTGCAGCTCTCCCCACTACTTTCCAGCTTGAGTCTTCAAGAGGGAGCCTCAGAACTGATTTCTAAAACCACTTGTACTTGGTGTGATTATAAAGCAATGAGACTGATTGTCATATGTCGTTTGTGGGATCCGTCTCAGTTACTTTATAGCCATACCTGGTATCCTACACCACAGATCATGCCTGTTGACGAACATTGTAAAAGCACAAACTTAAGGTTTCTAGATGGAAATTTAAACTGGTTTAGCATTATTTTATGATTTCTTTTTTAACTTACTGGCCAGAGGCAGGTATTAATTTAATAATGCTAACTTTAATTTTGCAGTTTTGTTTTTGTTTATACATTTTTAAAGCAAAAAATAAAAATAAATTGATAAACTACTATGCTGATAAAATGACTAAAACAGTTTTGAATACAATACATTGGGCTGTATTTTTCTTAAAACTTTTGTTACTGAGTTTCTGTTGCATGTCATCTTGACTTCTAAACATAACAAAATATATAAAACCAAATAAATATTTTTTAATATTCATTGAAGGAGCTTTCAAAAGGTCAAATTTTGGGGGTACTCTGCTTGCTTGTTTTTAGGGGATATTTTATATTTGGATGCACAACCCTTCTTCATACTTCACATAGTGATTATAATTTTCTCTTTCCCAAAATAAAATGGGAAGCCTAGCCTCCAGTTTTTCTCTGGGTTCTTTGGAAAAGATGCATTATAAAAGTTGCATGTTGCCACACTTACCTTTCCCTTTAGAAAGGACAGCTGCTGACAGTTGCATGTTGTAGAGAAGCTTCCCTGTTTCCTTAAAATAAAGTGAAAAACTGTTCCCTATTAGAGGACAGGTGGGCTAGTGATCCATGATATCCTTGGGGGAGTAACTACTTGCTTTGACTTATTACTGTCCCTGGAAACCATATAAGAAAAGGACTTAGAAAAACAACCAAACCATCCTTGTGATTAATTTACATAATTTGTGCCTGTGGGCAGACTTCTGAACAGCTATTAGAAGCTGAAGGCTTTGGGTTCCATTCTGGGTACTAGTCCAGAAATTTAAAACTTGGACCTGCCTAGAGGATTTGAGTGCACTGAGCATGGTTAGACATGATGGGAGTCTGGGACAGAATATTCAAGTTTGAGGCCAGCCTGGGCAACATGAGATACTATCTCCATTTTGGGTAGGGAAAATTGTAAGTTTTTGATCCAGAAGGGCTCTGGAAGGAGCTTTACTCCTGTTAGCTCTAGACAGAAGACCAAAGTTAGTTTCAAGTGTTACCAGTTAAGTCACTCTGTAGCCAAGTGTGTGTCCTAAGACGTGGTTCTTTCTGTTCCCTGTACTAGTTCTATACACAGTTGTTGCTCAGCAGTGCATGTCAGAATGATTAGTGCAAGGACCACCTATTCATACCATAAGTGACAGCACTTTTCTCAAGATCTTTTGCTGTAGACCCACCCTGATTAAGACACAGGTCGCTGGCTTCATAATGTTCTCGATGCAGCTGTAAGGCAGCTCATGCTGGACTAGAGTTGTTCTATGCCTCGCCTGTTTGTCTGGAGTACTGCTTGTGTTCCCGCTCCTGTCAGTGTGCACAGCTGCAGCCTCATGTCAGCTCAACAGTGGAGTCTGCAAACCTTTCTCAGTAGCAGAAATTATGGTAATTCCTCTAGGGAACATAGATGTATATTTATTTGTCTCTGAATTTCAGATGTCACTTGAGTCTGTGTATTTGTTTTACATTACAGGCACGGGAGATATTATTGCTGTCATGATAACAGAATTGAGGGGTAAGGATATTTTGAGTTATCTGGAGAAAAACATCTCTGTACAAATGACAATAGCTGTTGGAACTCGAATGCCGCCAAAGAACTTCAGCCGTGGCTCTCTAGTCTTCGTGTCAATATCCTTTATTGTTTTGATGATTATTTCTTCAGCGTGGCTCATATTCTACTTCATTCAGAAGATCAGGTACACAAATGCTCGCGACAGGAACCAGGTGAGCTAACTAGTATTCTAACCAGCCATAATCCGTGAGGATCCTGTGATCATGCAGCTTAAATACTTCTTTTTATAATATATTTAAAAACAAAACCAACAACAAAATAAAAACATGTCAGGAGTGGTGGTGCACACCTGTGATATCCTGCACTCAGGAGTCTGAGGCCAGCTGGGCCACACAATGAGTTCCAGGCCAGTCTGAGCTACACTCCATTTCAGTTTTAAAAAAAGAAGACGAAAAGAAAGAAAGAAGAAATTGCTTCACATAACCACGGTATTATTATCTCAGTAAATGAACTTTTTTTGACACGTTTCTTAACCTATAGGCTCTCTCAGATTCTCCAGCTCTGCTCAAATGTGTCCTTGATAACAGAGAAAATCCCCGGTTGGTTAGGTCAGAATGTGGGTTACTTCGGTTGTGCTGTCTTTTTACTGTTTCCTGACACTGGCATCTCAGGAGAGCACAGGTCAGGTGTTTTGTACTTGTCAGTGTGACGTATCTCATGGCTCCATCCAGACTGTCTGCATTTTGTCAGCTTCACCAGCTCTCTTTAAGTGTTAAGGTAATGGTAGCTTTGCTGTCTGTGATTTATTAGAAGCAGTAGAGATCCATTTCCCCAGTCATGTCCTCTTGCCTTACTATAGTAATATCACAGCACAGGTCCACTGCTGTTACTGAGTCCACTGATGTCTTCAGAGCTGTCCTGTGTAATTTGTGCTCATTTATGTGCATGTGTGCTTCTGGTCAACTCCATCACATGCAGAGTCATGAGCTCACCACAGTCAAGCTATACAGAAAAGGTCATCTGTTGTCTCATAGCCAGAGACTCCCTCTTCCCCTAACCCTTCACCACCACTAACCTGTTCCCCATCTCTGGTGTTGTCATTTCAAGAATGTTGTATAGCCAGGTGGTGGTGGTGATGAGTGCACTGGGAGGCAGAGGCAGGCAGATCTCTGTGAGTTCAAGGCCAGCCTGGTCTACAGGGAACTAGTTCCAGGACAGCCAGAGCTATCAGAGCTATGCAGAGAAATCTGTCTTGAAAAACAAAACAAAAAGGAGTGTCGTATACACTTTATCTGGAGAGCTAAGTTTCTTCATCTTCATTCAGCATGGTTCTCTTGAAGTCCTAAATCCTTACTAGCTGTGTACATTGGTAACTCTTTTTATTGGTGCGTAGTATTCCATAGTGTGGATGTACTCTAATTTACTTAGCCACTCACTCATTGAAGGATAGCTGAATTATTTTCAATTTGAGGGTGTAAGAAAACAGCTATGAATACTTGTGTCCAAGTTTTTGTCTGACCATGAGATTTTTTTATTTCCTGGAATAAAAATATAACTTCTGAACACAATGTAAGTAAATGTTTAGTTTTTTTGGTTTTTTTTTTTTTTTTTTCTTATTTGTTTTTTTAAGACTGGTTTTCTCTGTATAACAGCCCTGGCTGTCCTGGAACTTGCTCTGTAGACCAGGCTGGCCTCGAACTCACAGAGCTCCACCTGCCTCTGCCTCCCAAGTGCTGGGATTAAAGGTGTGTGCCACTACCACCTGGTGGCTAGTTTAGGATTTAAAAAAAAAAAGATGTCCTTTTCCAAAGTGGCTTCATCATTTTACCTTCCTGCTGGCAGTGTGTGGCTGATCCAGTTCCTCCGTGTCTTGACGGCATTTGGTATACATTTCTCTTTTTGTTACTGTAATGTCCATTTCTCCAGTGGCCATAATTGAACACCTTGCATACATGCATGTGTGATTGTTCTGTGTAAGTACATATGCATATATGTGGAAGGCAGAGGTCAGAATTGAGTGTGCTGGGGTCACACATGTGTCCCACTGCACCCAGGTTTGTGGTGCTGAGATGCAGATGCAGGGCCTCATAGTTGTATGGCAGACACTGTGCTGACAGCCATCTCCCCACCAGGGTCATCTTTTCCAGTGTTTCAGGGAAATGTCCACTTGAGTCTGTTGCCATTTTCTTCCTGGATTGTTTGTCTTTTACTGTAAAGGATTTTTTTTTAAGAGATTTGATTTATTTATATTTTATATGTTTGTCTGGATGTATGTTTGTGTACCACGTATATACAATGCTCAAGGAGCCCAGGGAGGGTGTCAGATTCTCTGGAGCTGGAGTTACAGGCAGTTGTGAGCCATCATATGGGAAATAGGAATCAAACTCAGGTTTTCTGGAAGAGCAGCCAGTGCTCTTACCACTGAGCCAGCTTTCTGGCTCCCTGCTATTGAGTTTTTAGACTCTGTGTATTATAGAGATAGTAGTGCTTTGCAGGTGCTTTCTTCCTGCTCTATACTCTGGCTAGTCAACCAGTTTAACAGTCTTGAAAAACAAAGTGTTGGGGGTTTTTCTAATTTTGATAAAGTTTAATTTGTGAATTTTCCCTTGAAATTGTACTTTTGGTGTCAATTGTAAAAAGCTCTTTGTCTCACAAAGATTTTCTCCTTGCTTCTAAATGTTTAAAGTATTTATTACATTTTAGAGTCAAGTCTACAGTTCGTTTGTCTGAAGCTGTCTCTCTTCTGATGCAAGTATTTTGTGCTGTAAACTTCTCTCTGCACTTCTGAAGAAGTGCTAAGGCTCTGCCTCACAGATTTTGACATGGGCTTTCATTCAGTTCCTCATTCTCCTCCCTCAGGCCCCCCAGTGCTGGGAAAGTAGCCGTGCACCAGCGCTCAGCCTCGTATTTTTTCACTTGACAGTTTCTTCTTGAACCTGTGTGTTGAGAAGTGCTTCATTCCCCTTGTCTACAGAGTGCTGTGAAGGAGTGCTAATGCTGCCTATTTGCTCGCATTATGATCAGAGAAAGACTTTCAGTTCTTTTCTAATTCTTAGACTTGCTTATGACCCAGGTGTGGTTAATCATGGTGCTTAATGTATGCAGCAGAGCATGTGTGCTCTGCCATTGGGGCACATCCTGGAGATGTCAGCTCAGTGCACTCCGCTTGCTCCTGTGAGCAGGTAGGGTTGGGAGATCACCTTCCCACTGAGGGCACCTAGTGCCAGATTCGGGGGAAGAGTAAAATTTTCTCTTTGGCATTTGGCTAAAATAGAGCAGACAAAGCTCTGAAGGTTTTTGGACGAGAGTCCCCTCCTTTCCAGGTATTTTGATTAGGACAGTCAGGCTTCTCTTGACTTTGGCTGGTCCTGCAGACAGTACTGGGCTGAAGACTTCTGTAGCACATTGTTGGGAATCGGAGGGGCAGGGCAGTAAGGGAGCCCAGAGAGCTCAGCACCCAGTGTCCATTCAAGGCCAAGGCCCTAGACAGCCCTTCCTCTTTCTCTGGAATGACAGTGTGCGCTAGCTTTTAAAAAAAAAAAAAAAAATTGAAGATTTGGGTTTATTATTATTAAATACCATATGAATAATTAATAAATATTATTAAATGCCATATGGAACACCAAAAGTAGAATAATCAGGAGTTCTTCTGAAAACATTTTAATCAGAAAACCAGTGATAATATTAGAGCTGAATGGGGCACATCCAAAGGCCTTTGAAACATTCACAGTTGTCCTGGGAGCCTGGTATTTGATGATCTCGCATTAATTAGCACCCTCCGTGGGGCCTGATTGTGATGAAGGAGTAAAAAACTCACCATCTGCCACAGGCCACAAAGGATGCTTGTTTCCCAGCGTTCCTTGCAGCTCCTTTCAAAGCATCCCTCTCCAGACAATACTTTAGTGGAAAGTGATGTTCTGACCTTTTTTCCTCCTTCCGTTTTCCCTAAGGTGGAGAAATGCTTGATGAAATTTTTATGTGGCTTAAAAAGCTTAGCTCATGAAAGTTTAATGTGAAGGTGGCAGCAGCTCAACTGGTTGGAACCTTAGGCTGTTTTAAAAAGAAGCCTGAACTATTAGCAAGAAAAAAGCTGAACTGAAGGGAAAACTGAGATTTCCTTACAGAATTCTGTCTTGATGCTATTCTTTCTACAGAACATGCTGCTCAGGAGAGCCACACGTTCTGGATAACTTGGCCAGCATAGAGCAGTAGTTACCCTGCAGATCACTCTACGTGTAGTGTGAGAACCACTGCTGAGCCTGTAGTGTGTCTTCCTGAAAAACTACTGTGTGGATACCAAGATGATATGTAAATTTAGACCTGCTTATTGTGTGTATGTGCACACACACACACACACACACACACACACACACACACACACACACACACACACCCTACCACATGCGTGGGGAGGTCAGAGGACAACTCGCAGTAACTGGTTCTCTCCTCTACCTTGGGTTCTAGGGATTAAACTCCTGTCATCAGGTTCGTACAGCAAAGACCTTTAACCACGAACTCACAAGCCTAGCTTAGAGCTTTGAATCATTCAGTGACAGTTATTTTATACCAAAAGTAGATGTCTGGTACTTTTATATTGAAAGGGTTCATGAAGATTTTTTGAGAGATGTCAATATTTAAAAACAATCCCATTAATATTGTACCTTTGTATTAGACCTTTAGTCACTGTGACAGAGTGACTGATACACACAAGGGAGGAGAAAGAGTCTGCCTTCCCAGTGTCAGAGGTGTAAGTCCGTCATCACCAGGTTCCATTGCCTTTAGGCCTGTGACAAAGAAGAAACGTGGAGGAAGGGCATGGCAGGAGAAAGCTATTCACATCATGACAACCAGGAAGCAAAGAGGAGAGACAGGGCATGGACAAGGTACCCTTTAGGTCAGGTGTAGTGGTGTACATGCTTAGAAACTGAAGAAGCAGCTAGTCAAGGTTATCCTTGTCTACATAGTAAATTTGAGACCAGCCTGGGCTATGTGAGAGGAAAAAAAGATACCTTCAACTCCTAGTGGCCTGCTTCCTCCAATTAGGCTCTGCTTTCCTTTCTACAGTCTCACCCTCTCCAGAGAGTCTGTTCAGATTCCATTCCATCAGTGGAGTGCTTAAACAACTGATTAGGTCAGAGCCTTGATAACCTCATCCTCTGTAGAGATGCATCATAGACACTCAGCGGTGTGCAGTACTAATTTCCTAGGCATC